AGTAGAATATTTTTAATTTTAATGTTGCATAGACACGCGAGATATAATTATTTTATATTTTATTCGTTCAAATATCGTTCCATCGTTATAAAATTTGGTGACTTTGAAAAGGGCCGATTTTTGCGCCTGTTCCAAATAATTATTGTTCCTTATTACTATGGATATAGAAATGTGGCCCGTTTCTGCTGTCATCGTCCGCTTTTTTTCGTTCGTTGTCTGGGAAGAACTTCGGCTTCGACCCGACTTTCTCGCGAACTTTATTGATTCGATACCTAATCGATTCAATCAAGTTATCGGCCGGATATTGGAATGACTATTGACTGACTATTAACCATCGACCTCAATTTCTTTGGCACAAAAATCGACTCTTTTCAGGCCCACCAAATTTTATAACGATGGAACGATACTCGAACGCATAAAATATGAAATAATTATATCTCGCGTGTTTATGCAACAATAAAATTAAAAATACTCTTCTTCGATCGACAACCTACACAAACGTTATATTGTTGCAACATATTCTATGTTGGTTCAGAATTCTATATTAAAATAAATCTAATATTTATTTTTTTTTCAAGAGTAGCTATTAAGAAGCATTTGTCAAAGCCTCCTAAAAACCTTTCCCCAAGATTTTTACATTACAGTAATTTCCTTGCTAACAATGAAAAATGCATGAACGTTCGAGCGAGCGAAACAGTCGTCGGGACACCGCGTATTGCTCACGTATAGACGAGACAGTGTGAGTCAAGCGTTTTCTTAGTGTGTGTCACACGTATTTTAGGACGGCATTTCTGTCCAGACGTCTTATAATGCTATTTCTCTCGTTCTTACGTTTGCGATAGAGGATGGAAGATCGCCGCGACTCCCACCACTATTCCCTCTCCAAGTGTCCGACGATCGTATACCGCTAGCTCCCTCCGCCACTCCGTGCTGCTCTAGGCTCACCTACACGCAGCAGTGTATGAGTGACGCGTTATCGTGTGCGAGTCACACGGATATTCGGACGGCATTAACGCCGGTGCGTGTACATATAATCAAAATATAAGACGATGTAGCACGAACAGCGGCGCGTTGCCGCGCGACATCGGTCATCTTCAGAAGTAAACCATTTTTCTTTACACGAAGTTTGGCCTACTTCAGTGCACTCATTATCTTACAGAGAATAATTCATTCCTTGTCAACTATTGCGAATTTTGCAAAATGATACATGACTTTTCTATTCAATTTAATCCGTTCTATTTTCATACGAACGATTGTATAACAGTATTTGTATAAGTACAAGTCAGCAAGATATCGTATAAGCCATTAGAATCATTATTAACTTTCTTACTGTCAAAGTGATCCAGTAGCTATCAAGGCTAGGATTAAGACTACCAAGTGGAACAGGTGAGATAGTTCGAGTTCGAAACTCGAGTTCAAACAGAGGGATATATGAAGTAGTTTTTTTTTCTCTATGCGTATTGAGAAACTCTCAGTAAGTCCTTCTATAAGTTTTAACATAGAAGAAACGAAAAAAGTTACTATTTATAGCATCAAAAGGCATTTGTATTATTGAAAATTATGCATAATTATGTATAATTTTATCTATTTAGATATAATTATGTATAATTATATATGGACAAATTTCATATATAATTTTGCATAATTTTGTATAAGCATTTTTGCAAAATTATGCATGAAAAATTTTTCATTGGATATCTCTATGCTATCTAGGTATATCCAGCATAACTCACGAGGCAAGCAAAAGATTACAAATAAATATCTTTTTTAATATTAATATATTTCTTTTTTGTATTTTTTATAGTATTTTTTGTATTTTTTACAGTATATATTAAAATTACGATCATCAGTGTATTTTATATCTATGCATCAATCATTTGTGCATCTTTTATATGTCATATTTTAATTTGCAAATACATATATTGCGTTTCTTCTATATACAAATATGTTCGTATAATACAAAATATATATTTTATTAATTTTTTTATTAATTAATTATTAATTTCTTTACAAGCAAAATTACTTTAGCAAAATATAGTTATTCTCATTTTATATTTGTAATCTGCTGGTGACTGTCAAGTCGGTACGTCACAAGATACTGAGCATGCGCACTATCGTAGCCAATGAAATTTAAGCGCATAAACACTCCTTCATTTCGGCTTCACTCCCCTCGTCCATACTCCAAGCTTATATTCCGTCTCTATATTCCTATGTTCATGGCCTAAACTAGCAGTGAACCAGTAACCAGTATATTCGATAAGCTTATCGAATACATTGGCTGCATTCAGTAGACTCAACAGTTGGGCAACATTACTAGATTTTCTACTGAATGGCCGCGTTCAGTAGAACAAGTGATCAGTAAGCGCTCAGGGAGCTCTTGTATATGATTTGGCATATTCTTTTAGATCTCCAACTATACTCCAATCAGATGCAAGAGCTCACTGAGCGCTTACTGATCACTTGTTCTACTGAACGCGGCCA